TGCTTATCTTTCACCTCGCTGGGAGCGGACGTCAAACACAAAGTTGATGGTCCCCACGGAATTCGATGCTTCAAGATCCAAGGTGCTTTATATCACGATATGGGACTGCTGCTGCCGAGACCGAGAAAAGACCCAATGTTTGCTCAAATCTACGTCATGAGCAATGTGATTGAAAATGAGGCGTCCCACCGGAAAGCTATGTCGAGGTCAAAAGAAATTCAAGAGGATGTTATCAATGATATTTTAGACTTCTTCTATGAATTCAATCCGTATGCAAAACAATTCAAAATGTCAAGACAAATTCTTGAAGAGTCTCAAACGAAATCAATCTCTTTGATGCTGAAATCTGTTGCGCCAACAGCAACTGGTTCGGAAGGCCAAGAACGTACTGTCGACCTGCTGCTACCGAGGTCGCGATGATCGTTGCGGATGGCGGCGCTGTTGGCGAAAGAGACAGAGACCTGATCCTCCACAGCACGGATGGTCAATGGGAGAGGATTTCTGAGAGGCACACCGGGTATCTCCCACTTCAATACCCAGTGTTGTTTCCCTGGGGTCAAGTGGGATACGATGAGTATTATAGGGTCCCAGCACCTGATAGTAAGTTTAACGACAACTAGCTTTGAGTGCTGAAACAGCTGACGATAACCTACATGTAGATGACGGGCCGCACATTACGTCTCTGCAGTGGTTTGCTTATCTTTTATTTCAACGACGAGACGAGTTTTCGCCAATTTTATCATCGAAAATGCTCTTGCAAGAGTTTGCGATTGATCTTTACGCTTGCGTCGAGAATCAAAGGCTCAATTGGTTTCGCTTGAATCAAGACGTGCTGTATGCGGAGCTCTACTCTGGCGCGAAGAATCGCTGGGACGCAACAATTTCAAAATCGGTAGACGAGTTATACTGCCCGTTAGCCACATTGGAGGTGCGAGGCACATGCAGCAACTATATCACAATGCGATGGCATTAGTGCGGCACTTCGGACAACCGTCATACTTTATTACCATGACAGCAAACGACCACTGGCCCGAAATTCAATCATCCCTATCCCCAGGCCAAAAGGCAATGGATCGCCCCGATATAATGACTCGAGTTTTCCAAATGAAAATGAAGGCGATGATGAAGGATGTTACAAAACATGGACGACTTGGAGACTGTGTATTGCATGTCAGGACTATTGAGTTTCAGAACCGGGGACGCCCCCACGTCCATTTTATTCCAATTATGAAACCATCGACGTGTCCCCGGACCCCCGACGCCGTAGATTTGGTTGTTCGCGCCGAAATTCCCGATCATGCAACTGAACCTGATCTGTGGTCAATCGTAACAACTTCAATGTTGCATGGACCATGCAAAGAAGGAAGCAGTTGTTGGCGTAACAATAAGTGCCGATTTGATTTTCCAAAAGACTACGCCGAAGAAACAACGATGACGGACGATTCATACCCCACATACCACCGCAGAGATAATGGTCGTTTCTTCACGAAAGGCGGCTATACTTATACGAACAAGGATGTTGTACCGTTCAATCCTTATCTTCTGTTGAAATATAACTGCCACATTAATGTGGAAGTGGCCTCGAGCATGCAGGCATTAAAGTATTTGTATAAATACATAACGAAAGGCCATGATTGTGCGGCACTGTCAATCACAGCCGAAAACGAGATAGATACTTATGTTGATGGGAGGACGTTGACGGCGACTGAGGGTGAGTCGAGATGAGAGCGCCATTTCAAAATGAATGCTGACCAAATCGTCTTCCAGCTTGCTGGCGTT